TGACAAGTATTGTAAGTTATTCATGTATAAATAGTGAGCAAGTGCAATATCTTATGACAAGTACCATTTTTTTGTATAAAATGTTAAGAAATATCATTAGATGGGACATTGAATGTTAATGAAACTTGAATGTTCTTAATTTGACTGATTTAAAAATAAACATTTTTCGTACATTTATTACAAATTTATAAAAGTGTATTTGAAAGAGAAAATGGGATATAGCATCAAATATGGTAAGTAGGATATTCTGAGGATGATGCAAATAAACATTGAACTATTAAGAAAAGTAACAACAATACTTATCAGTCATGTCTTCCTTGAGAGTGTGTTTTTTGGGATTACCATGATCTTTTGCAGATAAAGAGCTTTCTGATGGAATTATGTTAAACCTTCCGTTATCTTCTGTCTTTAATACTATTCATCTTGTTATTGATTTTATAGCTTTCTTTATCAGCAAGTGCATTAAAAGAAATATACTAAACTAGCTTAAAACTGCCCTATCAGGTGGCATTTACGCTAGTCCTGTGGAGGGTTCTTGATAGGGCCTTCATCAAAATCTGTAGGGAAGAATAGATGCAATAGACAATAATAAACTACAAAAGAACTTAAAATCAATCACTGCATTTAATTATTGCATTAATGTTTAAGCTTGTCTTGTAAAATTTCAACAATAATTCTTCTGCTGCCAGATGATTTAATATATATAGGTCTTTACTTTCCATACAAACAATTATTTTTATTTCATGGGTGACTTTCACTGGATTTTGCAATTAGTTTTGATTATTCCCAAATTTATTTCCAAGTTATTAAAATTATTATCTTACAAAAATTTGTCACAAAAAAATCACGTAAAAAAAAAAAAAAAAAAAAAATCACTGAAAACAATCACAGTAATGAAAACTTAGGAACCAAAATTTCAAATAATTATATATATATATATATATATATATATATAGTCAGCAGTCAATATACCACATAACACACTTGAGCGCTTAGCCTTGGAGCGGGTAGAATGGAGATCAACGTGTTTTAGTGGATTCACCAATTTTCAATCTGCTTGTCTGAATCATCTTCAAGAAGCGAGAGCAAGATCTAAAAGGTCAGCCAATCTAACAGTGATCTCATCTCACAATCCTCACACTTGCTCCATATGTGGCCTCCTTTGTAAATCACTAGCGGGTCTTAAATGCCACTTAAGATTATCACACAAAATTTCATAACTGAATCAATAAGCTGTCAGATCCTCATGCATCGAAACCGACGGGAGAGTCCATTATATATACAGTACATGGCAAAAAAATGGACACACCCATAGAAATGATGATGAACAAAATATAAAGCTTATTACATTTGTATTTACATTTATTAACATGTCTAAGCATTGCTCTAACTTCAAGAAAAGCCAGATCGAAACTTTTCATCATCTTGGACTGTTGAATAGAGTGATAGCTGATAAGATTAATCATAGTGAGTCATGTGACCACAAGTTAATCAAAAAGAGAAATCAAACTGGAACATATAATAGATGTTGTGGATCTGGCCAAACACTAAAATCTACTGACAGTGAAGATAGAAACTTGGTTCAACAATGCCAAAAAAAGGTAGATTCACAATAGCACAAGATGTTTAAAAGTTTGATAGTTTGGTGGTTTCTTCAAGAACATTCAGGCACAGGCTTAAAGCAAAAGGTATTGTTTCCAAATACATAAAAAAGAAACCTTTCATATCTGGAAAAAAAAAAGCACAGTTGGCTCACTTACACTGGACTAAATCTGACTGAGATGATGTTTTGTGGTGTGATGAGAACCCCTTTACTCTTAGATATGAAGGACAAATATATGTTTGGTGCACACCCAATGAAATAATGACTACCAAGGGCACTGTTAAATACAATAAAAAAAATCAATGTATGGGGTGCATTCTCAGCAGCAGGATTTGGTAATTTGTACAAAATCAAAGGAATTATGGACCATCATCAATACCACAACATTCTCGTTAATCAAATGTGGCTTTCTGCTAAAAAAAACTTTTTGCCCAATGTCAATGCTTCACGTTCCAACATGATAACAATCCTGTTTTTTAAGAACACTGGAAAATCTTCTGAACCTTATAACCATAACCCTATTAGTCTCCTAGCACTTTTTTGGCAAAGTATTCAAGGCTTTAATAAATGCTGAAGTGGCTTAGCATCTTAACTCTCATAACCTACTCTCTAATAAATAATATGATTTCCATTTTGCCAGGTCTACCACAGATGTACTAAAGGCCATCACTGAATATGTACATCGAGATGTGTGTTTCAGGATTCCAAACATTTAACACCACCACCTCTTTTAAATGAAACATAAAAATGGTTAAAATCTGAAGGAAAAGTAGTAGCAGGTAGTTGACATAACATTTATACATTCTTTTCAGAAATATACAATAAAATGTTGAATTTTCCTTGCAGTGAAGCTTATTTTATTATGTAATTAAGTGTTCACAATGCAGTGTGAAGTGTTTGGATGGACTTACTTTATGACAGTCAGTCCAATGCATTCATGAGTGCATAGACAAAAGCTCAGTTGGCAGCTACTGGCTCATCTCTTCCATTGTGTGTGTGTGTGTGTGTGTGTGTGTTTTTGAGCCTTGAGAAGCAGTAGGCTTCTATTTTTATGTCCATAAAGGAGATCCAACATTTAATTTTACATAGAGATGTGATCTTTTTGAATATAAGTTTTTTATTGGTAGAGAAAATAATTACACTCTCACTCACAAAAATTATTTTGTCTAATTTGCAGGACTAGTGAAAGAAGTTATTTATGTTTACAAATATGTTCACAATTATTAATTGCAATGATTGTTTATCAGAAAAACCTTCTGATTGGATTTTATTGGTTGAAAAATATATATAGGATTTAATTCTGATATATGTACATCTATTGCCTTCTCAAATTTGTATACAACATAAACATAGCAAAAGAAAAAAATTATCCAAGAAAAACCAAAGATATTTTAATGAAAATAATAACAGGCGTATCTGTCAGTCTTCCATTAAATCAAAGCAAACAATCTTGTATCTCTTTTCATTCATGTAATTAAAATTCAAGGGGATGCGCTGTTGAAATATTTTAATTTAAGGATTCTTAACAAGATTTGTTTGTATGGAAATGAGCTAAGTCCTTCAACCAAAACAATTTTTCTCATTAACTTTTTTTTAATTAATTAACTAAAAATTAACATCGCCATTAGTTCTTTAATTTTTCACTATCATTAATACTTCTTTATTCTAGGAATCTTTTCAGAGAACAGTGTCATCTTTGATTATTTTATCACAATGTTTCAATGGGCCTTTTTCTTTTTTTATGCAGTAACAGAAATTCTTTCAAAGACAATCTAGCAGCCAGTCTGAAAAAAATCTAATTACATACCTAGAGCGAATTGATCAATATATACAAATTTCCTCAGTAAATGCATGAAAGTTTTGACTGTATTTTTTTTCTTATGCATCTTTGTTTCTAACTTTATCACAAAATTACAAACAGTAACAACATGATAAAAACAATCCACAGACTCAACAGACATATTTGATAACTAACACAGGCTTTTAGATAATCATTTTTTCATACTGGAACTTCACTGTGACTTCTCTAGAAATATTTTCATGGCAATAGTTTGGATGAGCTTTCCTGGTGACTTCATGAATTTAAGCACAGTACTAGATTAGAAGTTAGGTCTCATTATTTTACTGTTGAAATTGCTAGATGTAACTATTAGTTCTATTCTAATAGTTTCTGTTCTTAGATTTCCCACCTATAGCTTCTTGCTTTCCTGACTATGATCTTAGAAAAAAATAACTGCAACATTGGTCATCTTGTTTTTTTTTTAAGACAGTTATTGTATTGTCCTTTCCCTCAATAAACTTTTCTCAGTAATGTCTTGTGTCTTTGTGGCTTTACCAACTTGCTTGAAGTGATATGAAAACATTAAAATGGTAATTTGAATGTTCTGAATAATTCAATATTTGAAGATTCTATGTGAAATCAAACAATATAGCATAGACTCTTTAGTCAAAATATTTTTCAATTAAATCCAATTTAATTTGAATTTTATAATCCTTTGCTAAAAACTGAATAAACATCAAGCAAACAAGTCAATTATATTTTAATCAATCTTTAGTCTATGACAACCAAGTTACCTGTTTATACAGATAGAAAATTAATCTATCTCTTTATCAAAAGTATGAGTGACACCTGTATTTAAAAATGGGACTCATGTCAGTAGTAGTTTATACTCTGAGTACCAAATCTAGGATTGTGAGTCTGGGGGCGGCATCACCAGTTATTTAGATATATATTCTCATCCCTACTGTTTTAACACTAAATTTTGGCTGATGCATCTTTCAGTCTTCTAAAGGTTCATTTGATTGAAACTTTTTTGCATATAAATAATTGAAGCTCTCTCACTTGGTCAAAAATCAAATTTGCTTTAGTAGCCAAACAAATATTTGTGAAGCAATAATCAAGATGGTGTTTATCTGAAGACAAGATATAATAACTATTTTTGAATCTCATTTCAGTGCTGACATCATCAAGAGATGCTATTTTTTTTCAATATTGGCTAATAACCAAACTTTAAAACTCAACGGCACCAAAATAAGACTCTCAGACAAAAACTCTGTATATTTTCATTATATTAAATCTCCACTCATCTCAAACATTTATTTTTGGTCTCCTATATCATTAGTGTTCACTTTGGCTCTTCTTCTTGATAGGATGATGTCCAACCAATTTAGGAACAACTGTTTTAAGCCTTAAATCACCAAATATTTATATTTGACTTTTCTTAATCAAATCTTAACGGCTCTCATTAAATATCTTTACATTTTATTAATATTATAATGTTATTTGGATGAATATCTTTATCCTTGGTTTTATCATGTCAAAAAATGGATACAAGTCTGATTAAAGGATAACTCATCTTGGTGATTCAGACAGCATTTATATGCTTATTCTTTTTGCTTATGGCCATATCACATTGAAACACCAGTTCCTGAATGATCACAAAAGTCAAGCAACATTGAGCCTGGTCAGTAACTAGATGGGTGACTGCTTGAGAATACCAGGTGTTGTAAGCTTGGATGTGTGGGTGGTATAATTGATAATGGCTCGGAATTGTTTGATTAACAATTCCAAATTCCAATTCTAGTTGGGTTCATTATATTCACTTATGTTCAAATACTCTTAGGAAAGGTATGAATCCACCTCTTCTTCCCCAGCTATGGGTTAATTAGTAAGACTTGTATCACTAAATCATTATTACCCAAAACAGAATCTTACAATATAAAAGATATTTTCTGGCTTTAAATAATCTGAAAAGAGGTGATAAAGTTGTTCATTTTCTATAGTTTATCAAAAGACAACCATCCATTCATACAAAATCATTAGTTAAGTCACTCATTTTTCTTTCTTCTCCTTTTGCCTTCATTATCTTCTGTTAATCTTGAACTTCCCACACCCTCTTTCCTCATAATGTGCTCCAAAAATTTCAACTATTTCTGATTTTAAGTATTCTTTTAATTCCCAAGCTTTTCAAAACTTACGTTCCATTTATGGTATTCTCATCATCCATATTTAGAAAGACATCTGTCACTTTGAGTCTTTTCTTCCTATGAAAGCATAATGTTCAGCATTGTCCATATGGAAGGCAGATATGACACAGTAGTTCAGCCATCTTTTATGTCTTAATACTTTGTTTATTTCCTGGAGGACCTCTTTTGCCATTCTGATGCGTCTTCAGATTTCTATCACATTTTCCATCATCTTCAACTCCATAACTCAAATCATTAAATTTCTCTGCTTGTTTGATTCTGATGTCTCCATTTTGAGCTTCACACATTTGGCTGCTACTCTTGCTGACAAACACAGATTCTTGAACATTATACATTGTCTTAAAATTAACAATGATTATTACCTATGGATATAGTCAATAACTGTTTTATTTTATTTACTTATTAATTTCTCCTATTATTATTTATTAAGCTATTATTTTTATATATTATAATGGTTGGCTAACCAATCCCTGTTGCAGACGGCAGCTCAGGTACATGTTTTTAACAACCAAGATTACTCAGATCATTAATTTTCTCTACCTGCTTGATTTCGTTTTGAGGATCATATATTTGTCTGCCAATCATAGATTCTTGAACATTTTCTTTAAACTTTAACGATGATTAATACCTAACTAGGTGGTTAATAATGTTTCTCTTATTTACTTACTAATTTGACTTATTATTATTTAATTTACTAATTTGTCGTATTATTTTTATATATTATAATGCATGACTATCCAATTCCTGTTGCAGACGCCAGCTCAGGCACATTTATGTTTAACAACCACATAGTCCATCTGTGGCTTATACTGCAACTATGCTGAGTGGACAGAGTTTCTGGAAAAAGAGCACATTCTCATAATTGACAGTTTGAACAAAACCAGAACACACAAAAACTCAGCCATGAGCATTCATGACTTTTTGCTCGGAGAACCATGAATGAACAATTCTGTCTACCCAGTTCAACCCAAAAGGCATGATATTGTTTGCATGCCGAGATCACCTCCCCAGACCGATAATATCAAGAAGTCACCTTCCTGACAAATCCAACCATGGTAAGATTTGAACCCAGGTTTCATGGTTGAAAAATGAATGTTCTAACCACTTGACCATGCACCCAAACAAATTTTCAATTATAATGTTTTTATTGTATGAGGGATGTCCAAAAACATACAAATACTTAAAATATTCATTAATCCAACATGTATATTACAATACAAATGAATCATTTTGTGTATGTTACCAGCAGTACAAATCAACTTTTCCATTTGTCACTGTTGATTTTGATGCAATTATTTTACTGCGGTGCATAAATACTCTAATTAATGTGGCAGTGAGCAAATGAAGCCAACCTTACACCTGTGCAATAATAGGGTCATCTCTGTGGAATGACTTCCTGGATAAATGCTATTTGACTACCCCAAGCATAGATAGCTGAAGCTTCTCTTTTGTCAGGGTGGCAGTGTATTTCTTCTTTTCCTCACAAGTGACATGTTATGTTATTTATCTGAGGCAATGGACATGCAAAAGAAGAAGCATGCAGAATTATAATATTATAATTATTATGAATACAATATTACAAAAATGAAAATTTTACTGTCCTGTAATTTATTTCATAATTCCTTTATCTCAAATGTCTATTGAGCAATTCTGACAACACAATGAGAAACTGCTCATGTCCATTTGCAGAGTCTATTTTAATAACTGCTATTCAAGTTTTTTTTTTCTTGTTTATTTATCAGTCAGATATTAGACTACCTTTAGAATATTTTTTCATCTGAGCCAATCTCATTGGAAAAAAGGAACTGATTACTTTAAACCAGAATGATTATTGAATTTTACTTTCAGGAATCATAGAAATAGATATCATAACCTATACATCCAAATTGCCTTCCTATGAAATACTGCCAAATAATCTGAATATTAAGGGAGATTAGACTGAATGTATTAAAAATGGAAATTGTGTTCAAGTCTTTGGTCTGATTGAAGATAAAGATTTAACTGATATCACATCTTTGTGCACACTGATTACTCTCTAAACAAAACTTGGTAAAAACGCTATGGCTATAACATATAACAACAGAAGCTGAGAAATGCTATAAGAATCTAACATGTTATTTAGATGCTGATCAGGTGTTGTCAACCATCCAAATTATTTTATTTACCATTAAAGATTTTAAAAATATTTTATTTCATATTTGATAAAATAAATACTTTAAGTCATTCTTTTGAACAGTGAGGAGAATTTAAGACTAAAATATTCACTTGTTGGTTTAGCATTCTGCCATGTGCAGAATACCCTCTCTAAGCTATCTGGGTGCTGAAAGCATGTCAAGGCTTCAAAATTCTTGCAACCCTTTGTAGACTTTGCACCATTTTGGTCTTACATCCAAAACTTAGACAAAAGCAATCCATCACTGTCAGAATTTCATTTTCATGATGAGAAATTATTAAAAAAAAGTAACAGATAAATTCTGAACTTCTTAACAATATGAAAACAGGAGAGAATATGAAACCCACAAGAGTTTTCCTAATTTAATTGCCATCCTGGCTCAGCCTCTGCATTCTGTAACACACAATTTTGGAAGTGCCAGAAGAAAAAACTGAAATATTACAATAATCTCAAACAGTTGCAATCCTGGTTGGAATTAAAAAAAAATGTTCCTCTCCTAGGCTAGTTGTACATCAGGGTGAGTGAATTCAGTCTGCTTTATTATTTTTTGATGCTCACAGAACATACTGATGGCAAGAGGGACAAAGAGAAACAGCAAGTAACCTACCTGATTAAGAAGTGACATGAGGCAAGACAAATGTAGTTCTACAGGTAGATACTGAGAATACCATGGAGTGAACATGTAAGTAATGAGGAAGTTCTAAGGAAAATAGAAACAAAAAGGACAATTATATGTTGAATTAGAGACATCCAGGACAAATAATGAGGAATGAGAGCTTGGAGAATGTGACACTCACAGACAAAAGACAAGATAGAAACTTATCTAACAAGCTAGTGTAAATAAATGGCAGAACAGGGAGTAGAAGGGATGATGAAAAGACAATACTTGCAAAGAGCTACAAACTATAGGAATTTGTGGAGAGCCATGATCACCCACATCCTGAAGAGAAGAAGAAGAGATGAATTCATGCTCTTCTCAGCTACATCTGTGCTAAGAAAACACTGTCTCAGACAAGTATCATCTTGGCATGCCAATTCCACTTCTCTTAGAGGATCAGAAAATGACATAATACTGGAGAATCCTGCAAGCAGTTTTTAAAATGAGAGCTTGGTTAGAAATTATAAACAAAAATTTAAAAGATAATTTCTGAACTTCTTAACATGAAAATAGGAGAGAAAATGAAAGCCACAAGAGTCTCCCTAATTCATCACTGAATAATTAATTGCTCCCCTCAACAATCAACCAATGGATTTGCTTTAAATTTTCAAGGTTAAAGAAACTAATTCAACTGAATTTAATCTTATCAAACTTTAATTCTTTCAGAGTGCATTAAAATCCGAGCAACCACCACTCTCCTCAACTCCAGTGTGCACAAAGAATTAGAAGCATCAGATTTTAAATTTGAGCAATCATTCATTTCTTAAACATATTTAAAAAATTGGTCAGATTATTTGATCTAGGATTAGTGCCATAGCCATTTGGTATATTGGAGTGACAACTCAAAATTTTAAATTGATTAAATATTTCTTTGGTTTTAGGTTTGAAAGACAAAGCAGTGTCTAAATTGTAACCTTTCTTTCCCTCTTTTTGTTTTTGAACAGTGAAATGTTTAAAAACAAAAAAGGTGACAATACCACTTAGATGCAAGGGGTTACTGGGAGTGAAAGAATGAGAAGAGATCAGTGAGGAGAAAGGAAAAATAAAAGAACAGGTTTCAGGAAGACAGATGATAATTGGCATTACATTTAAATTTTTGAAGAACATATGTGGCAGGAAAGCAAGAAACTAGGAGAGAGTTCCACAAGTGAGATGTGTGAGAAGAGAAACTATTACAATGAAATTTATGGTTTTATTTAGCTATTTCAATAGCAAAATGATGAAACCTATCTGCCAATCTAGTAGTATATTTAAATTCATGCAGTCAGAAGCCACATCATGGTGGTGAGAAAGTGACTGAAGTTGAGATGTTTGGTCATGACCGATAATGTTACAGACCCTTCTTTGTTTAGAATCTTGAGATACAGGGTGCGATGAATAAATTGTAGTCTAAATTGTGCAAAAATGAAAATATCACCGACATTTCATTTTAACAGATATATTTACTAAAATTACACAAAAATATCATGAAATACTAAAGAGGAAATTTATTCAATGCATACAAAAGTGTTAAATTCTTTAACATGCTTCCTTTTTGTTGGTAAAACAAGACAGTGTCTCTGACATAATTTTTTTGTAATCATAATGGAATGGTTCATAATTTATCTGAGGAAATAGCAGGGTATAACAAATGTACAAATGGAGGAACACACAGAATTATATGATGATTATACACATATGCTAACACTTCTGT